GTTCTTAGAGAACTTATAGGCATAGTGAAAAAGTCACTGAAGCAGTTCCAACCTCAAGTAGTCCAGACCTGTAGAAGGAGCAGTGGGCTGCATTCCTGCCTGGCTTGCGGCTAGCTTTATCTGAAATAATTACACAGAAACTGTATTCATTTAAACACTGCCTGGCCCATTAGTTCTAGCCTCTTATTGGCTAACTCTCACATATCGACTAACCCATATCTAATAATCTGTATGCCACCACGAGGTCATGGTTTACTTACTGAGTCTAGCCAACAACCATCTCGGGAAGGGGACTCATGGCATCTGCCTGACTCTGCTTCTTTCTTCCAGCATCCTGTTCTGTCTACTCCACCTATCTAAGCTGTTGTCCTATCAAAAGCCAAGGCAGTTTCTTTATTAACCAATGAAAGTAACACATAGACAGATGACCCTCCTTCATCATTTCCCCCTTTTCTGTTTAAACAAAAAGGAAGGCTTTAACTTTAACATAGTAAAAATACATAAAACAAAACAGTTATCAAGCAAGAATTACAGTTACAATATTTATATCTACGTTATCTTTTATCATAACTAAGGAAAACTATAACTATCTATTCTTCAACTCCATCAAGGACTCCAGAAGGATATAATATTACCTAAGCAAACAAAAAATAAGCAACTTCCAAATTCTAGAAATTACAGAGACATCTCGCTGCCTGGACAGTCACCCAAAGTTTTTTTGTACCGTTGGGGCATCCATCTTCAGCCTTTCGGGCCCATAATATCCAGGAGACTTTTCCATGAAGCAGGACATTTCAACGGCAGTTCAGTCACTATCTGCTGTGTCCCGCAGAATGTCTCACAGACTCTTTGATGATTCAGGAACCCCAAAAGACCATCTAACCTTTTGGCAAGTTCAGCTGTCCTCTCTCTGTTGGTTCTCAGTGTCCAGTTTATGCAACAGTCCAGGCAAGATCAGTTTCTTGCCCAAATGGCTATCAAACTCCATCAGGAGCCTCTTCGATGCCCATCTTCCTCTTGATGTACATTGGTGCTGCCAGGAGCAGATGTGTCTCATTGTCATGAAAAGCCCTAAGTTATTAAAACATTTAAAATGTCATATTCTGTAGTCTTTGAAAGATATGAAGAATGCCTATCTAACTGAAATATATCTCTATATATCTAGAAAATTTAACTAAAATGACTACAAGCTTGATTATTATAGATGATTATCCATTAACAACCTATATTTCTTAATTATATATTACATTTTTAAATGAACTACACAATCACAATACCTTAATCAAGATCAGAAATACATATACATTTAACAAAATTGACATTAAAATCCATACCAATGCAAATTATTCATATCTATATCATATCCCCCATTAAATATAAAAGAACATTTATAAACAATATCTGGGAATATGGATGTAGTTATTTCTCTCCAAACTTCTTCCTGCTGTATAGGGATGCTGTTAATCAGGTCTTTCATGGTATAACCTGTGTGCTAGGTTCCTCTCAGTCAGCAGTTGAGTAAAGTAGTTTTTTGAGGGTGTTCACAGCAACCTTTCAGGAAGACGTGGTCTATCATACCATATTGGGACAGAAGCAATCCACAGGGTCTCATCCTCTGTGAAAACAAAAGAAGGACCTCCTTTCCAAACATTATATTCTTAGACTCAAATTCTGAAGTCATAGTACCCTTATGATATCCATTCTGGCTAGCTTGGCAGCCCATATAATAAAATGTCTTTCTGTGCTTAGCTTCTTTACAGTCAAAAATTTTAAAGAAAACACAATATACAGAATCCAAACTCTCTGTGAATTTTCCATTTTTACATGACTTATTTTTTTTATTTCTTTTAATCTGTACTCTGTCTCTTTAAAGACTTTACCCCTTTTTTAAGGCATTAACTTTATTCTCTATATTCTTTTTCTTCTCTCTCCCAAGCCTACGTACAGTCATCCAACAATGTGACCCATTTAGAGGTCTTCTATGTTTGAATCTGTCCTATTGTGAACCTGTATTTTTTTTTTTTTACTATCCAAGAGCATTTCTGCTTTGCAGTTTAAGCACTTAAGATTCTAAGCTGTAACATTCCTAGGTCAAAAACGGGTACTGCAGACTTGCCCTGCCCAGTTCAACATGGCAGAGCCACTGGTGACTCTGAATCAGTTGTGCCTCTAAGCTGCAGAGCTGTGGGCTGCTCTGGATGTTGGCTCCACCTCTCTTCAATTTAAAAATGGTGAATGTACCATTTCTGCTAGCTCTGGGGCTGCCAGATAAGAGCCATACTCAGCAGTTTAACTCTGAGACTGAGCGTGCAGCACAGAAACTCTTTTCATTCAAGTTACATCCAAATATGACACAGCCTGGAAACATCTCTCTGTATGGTGGCAGGAATCCGCCATGCTCTCCCACTGCCTAAGCCTGATTCCACAATCTGCCCAGGTGCAGGAAGGAAGCACTGAGCCATTGGCATGGTCTCAGAGTACTTCCCAATTTTGAGCAGACAAAACATCCAGTCCCATAAAAGCCACCAAAATGCTTTATATCTGGTGTTTGCGCTGCAATTTAAAATTTTAAAATGGTGTAGCTTTTTTTCTGCTACTGTGGCTGAATCAGGAAATCACTCTACAGCATGCCCTAACAAACAGCAAAAAGGTGTGTTAAACTCTATATTTATGTCTAGAATTCTTTTTTAAGTCCTCTGAACTTTTACATGCAGTTAGTTACCACGTTGGGCAACCAAATGTAGTGATAGGAGTGCCGGGCCGCAGTCCGGCTCCTGGCTAGCTTTACCCGAAATAATTACATGGAGACTGTATTCATTTAAACACTGCATGGCCCATTATCTCCAGCCTTTTATTGGCTAAGTCTCAAATCTTGACTAACCCATATCTAATAACCTGTATGTCACCACGAGATCGTGGTTTACTGGTATGAGTCTAGCCAGCATGGCATCTGCCTGACTCTACTTCTTTCTCCCAGCATTTTTTTCTGTCTATTTTGCCAATCTAAGCTGCTGTCCTATCAAAAGCCAAGGCAGTTTCTTTATTAACCAATGAAAGTAACACATAGACAGATGATCCTCCTACATCACAGACCCAAGTCCCTAGTCTAAGTCAACTCAGAGTTCTTGAGTCCGTCATTTTTGTAACTAGGGGCTAACCTAATAGTTGAAAAAAGTCCTCAAGGTTTGATGTAAAAGGCCTTACAATTCCTCATGTGCCTGAATGCTTGGTCTCTAGTGTGGAGTGCTGATTGGTTTGGGAAGATAGAAAATCATAAATCATTGGAGAGCAGCAGGAGGAATTAGGTGACTGGATGCAGCAAGGGCCTGCCAAAGCCATGGAACCAGATGTTTCAGCCTCATCTTCCCCAGGCCAACTTCCCCATCTCTTCTAACTGTTCTCTCTGTCCTCAGAGGGCATAAGACAAGACAGTCCTTTTGTCCCTTAAGTTGCATCCTGTTAACACAATGTTCACTGCCACGATAAAAATAATACAGTCCCTAATTTTAGACAGAGAAACTACCTACAGTTACTCCATGCTGTTACTGGTCCAACCTTGTCAGTTACATCAATTGTTCTTTGTGAGAAATGATAGGAATTTTTTCCTAAATGACATTCAGTGGCTGGGCTTCATCCTGAAGCTGCAGAGAAACTCCTGTTAGATGGAGAGCATTTGAATCTAGCATTGGTCCTGATACACTTGGGATTTCCCAGTTTCATGGACCTTGACATTGGGTGTTTTCCTTTCTGTTTCCATAAGTTTCATGTTCTGTGTAATCATTTGATTCACAGAGTCACTGCTGGTGTCTGAGACATTGATTTCTACACATGCCCATTTGACTTTTTTTTAATTGGTCCCTTTTCAATAATTTTGTTTGGCTATGAGATACTGTCATTTCTTTAGTTTTTTTGTTTAATTTAAAACCTCAACTATGAAAAGTAGGACATATCCTACTTTTAGACATGTATGGGTACATATAGTGAGCATGGATCATTTTTATCTGCTGTATTACATTGAAAAAGCTCCTGGCATCTGCTTACTGCACCCCCTATTAAGAATCCACAAAAACATCCATGTCTCTAGTTAGGCTCAGGATATCTCTGGAACTGGCACAGTACATTAGATGCTGTGTCCATGTGTATTTCAGAAAAATACAACATTTCATTCTTTGTGGATGAACATGGACCCTTCCCGCTAAACTTATCTGTCAACTGATGATCAGTTTTTGTGTGGACTAATCCCTAGTACTCCTTGCTGAACATACTGAGAATGTGAGGTATTTCTAATTTGTTATTGAACAGTGTTGAATAGGGAATCTCATTTCAGATAATGGGCAACAAGAACAATATATTACATACTTTGAGTGTATTAGAGTGTGTGTGTAAGTGTGTCTGTGTTGGGGTATGTGTATGGGGCACCCATAAATATGCACGAGTTTGTGTGTGTGTGTGTGTGTGTGTGTGTGTGTGTGTGTGTGTGTGTGTGTATGTATGTGTGTGCATTCATTATTTTGACATCAGGTACTACTGCCATCTTAGAATGTTTAGAATGATCTTTTTTGTCTCTGGTGAAGCAGCTTGAGGATCATTGAACTCCATTGTATTTAAAGACAGCAGGTATAATCCTTATGCAATCTTTGGTCCTGGGCTGTCCTTATAGGGAGAGACTTATTATCTTTCAATCTTGTACTCATATGGATCTTAGCACATTTCATAAGATCCTGAATTCATCATCATACCGAGGTGCAGCAGCTGGTGGTGCATGTTTGGTAACCTCTTATACTTCTGTTTGTGTCTGCATTGTGAATTTAGGAATCTCTTTCTTTAAGGAATGTCAACACTTTGGAGTACAAGGTTTTCTCACAGGTCCTAGAGTTCCCATGGATCATACTCATTTCTTTCCTGTCTCACATTTCAATGATATGTGTCTTCCTTTGGGGGGTTCATGTCAAGGGTTGTCAGATTTGTTCATTCTTTCAAAGGACCTGCTCTCTGTTTCAACTGCCAAGTTATCTCTAGCTCTGTTCTTTCTTACACTTTCTCATAACAGTTTTGAGGCTGGAATGTTGTGCTTTGTTTGTTTTTGCATCTTTGACCACCAAGATGCATCATTAGCATGCTTGTGAGACTTTTGATTTCTTGACGTACAAACTGATAGTCATAACTTTGTCTCCTAGTGCTGATTTTGCCTTTTTTCCCCCTTTCTAGCATCTTGTGGCAGAGCCATTCCCCACTAGAAAAGTTGGAGGACATGGCAGATGAACTTTCCTGGATCAACCTCATTGATGACAGATTACAAGGATCCAAAGAATTAACATCGGAGTACTCAATATCCACTTTAGTAAATACAACCTGTTCCCTCACTCACATTCTGGCTGAGGAGAACTTGGAAACAACTGTGCCAAACTGATTTCATGACACCTTAGCACAAAATGATTTACTGTACCAGAAAAATCATATCTACAGGAGGAAAAGTAAACATCATCCACAGGTCTGCTACTCCAGGAGCATACGCATCTCTCACCCTCCTTCGGTTTCCTTTGCAGAGGAGATGGAGTGAGCTGGCTCTGTCAGCATTCATGACAGAAACCAAAGTAAAGAACGGGCAAGAGGTAAATGAAAAAACTAGCAAGGGCTTCTCTAAGTCCAGTTCCCCTGATTTATACATCAGATCTTAACTCACCTGTGAATTCTACCCCACAGGATGCTGATATCAACGAATTAAAGACACGCGAGGAGGCAGAAAATGCTGCCAAAAAATATCTGAGGGCACACAGAGGGAGGTAAGGAAGGAGGACATCACTTTTACTAACAGAAATTTAGATGTGTTAGAGATTGTGGATAACACCAATGACGAAAAAGATTTTGAGGGAGATCTGTTTCTGTCTGATGAGATGACATCAGACAGAACCACCCCACCAGTTCTGACATCACCAGCCTGAACACATGGGATATCCTTTATGCTGTGTCCCCTCCATCCCCTTCCCAGCATGAAAATGACTATGAAACAGTCAAAGACATTATGAGGAGGGAGTTATCATCAAAATCTCCAGATGAACAACAGCTCCAGAAAGCACCCATAGCTGCCAACAGCACACTAGAAGGGGGTCTAAAGGTGTGAGGGGGAAGATCAAGAAGCTGTTTGAAAGGCTTTCTTGCTGTCTCCCTACCCGAAGCAGGGAATATACAACATCCAGGTAAGGGATAACAAGGACTGGGAAATGAAGTTTCAAGGAAATGATGCACCTGTACCACAAAATTAGTATTTGTATTTGATATGTTCTTTGCAAGGTACTTTGCCACAGGCAGGCTTCAGCCATTTATAGGATATGAATGTTAAGGTATCTGGCAACCTAAAAGGATTTTTAACACTGATTCCTGCTGATGAGGAGACTGGGGTGATTGAGACAGAAGCAGACAGAAGATGGTGTTGGCAGGGACTGGGGTGCAGGAAGACAGGAGGAAAAAGACTTTGTGAAAGGGACAGCAGTTTAGGAAGGAAGAATCTTGTGGCGAGCTCTGGTACCACAGAGCAGATTTTTCTTTTTTTCCTCTTTCTTTTCTTTTTTTATACTTCCTACATTTGCTTCAACTTTTCTCTATTTATTACCAAGCATTTTCTATGATCTATATATTTATCTTTGCCATTTTGTACATTGGTTTATTTCTAAACCTTAAAGCTGTTGTCAGTACATATTAGCTGAAAAATTAAAGTTTTCGACAACTCACCAGCTATTTTACTTCCCACAGAATTTCCCTGGTCAGATCAATTCCCTTCTAATTGTAAGACTCTTCAACCTGCCACCATTTCACACATGAGACAAAATATGGCTGGGAATTTTGAGGGACAACACATTTTCTAATGGCATCGCAGTGTCCAGGACAGGCTACCCTCCCTATGATTCCCATAATTGGGAGTTTAATAAAAAGGGGCTGAGTATCACGAGTATAGAAACCAGAAGGTCTGCAGCAGTCAGAAACACTAGAGAATTTGAGGTTCTAGGTGAAAGCAATATTGACAAAGCCCATGTGTTCACTCACCAGTGAATAACACATCTCTCACTCAGGTCAGCAAAAAGCTCAGAGTGCATTTTTGGTATTACTGCTGCTTGCTTTATAGTCAAAATGTTCTCTTAAAAGTTCTAGTGGTAGAGGTCTAACTCCATCTCATTATCTTTGAATTCCTGGTCACAGTTCTGGAAGACACCAGGAGGAAAAATTCTTTTGGTCCTCAATAGTATAAATGCCTTTATGCAATGACCTCACTGGGCATATTGGGAGGTCTTGCAGTCCCTGCCCACTGAAAGCACTAGCCAGTCTAAGTCTTATCCTGACACTACAGAGAAGGTGTTGACTTGTTGGCTTCAGGGAATTTGGACTCAGAATTTGGGTAACGTTCTCATGGCTATTATTGATCACTTGGAAACAGACATGCTGATCTGATTTGACCAGAAGAGTTTGTGTTTTCTTCCTAGATTCTGGTTTTTATCTATCTCTACAAGGGTGTTTGAATTAATTTCTGCTTTCAAATTAGTTTCTTGCTTTAAACCACCCTTAATTTTTTCTCTTAAATGAGCATGATTCTTTCACATTTGAAAAATACTCTTTTCTGATTTTAGGTCTTCGCTAGTAGGAGATAATTGCAGAAAATAAGCTTCACAATGGTCTACACTGTGAACACGCCCAGTACGATTCCATCCTCCAAGCTTTTTTGACCCCCAAATGTCACCTATTCTCTTGATGGCCCTCCTGATTAGCCAGGTTCTGTGCACCACAAACCAAAACCATGTATTTCAATCAGAGACAATCCACCACAGTGCTATGTTCAATGAGGCCTATTTCCTTTTAGATCCATCTATATGAGTTTAAGAAAAAACTTGAATATCAGGAGTGGGGAGGTGAGGATGTCTACCCTACAGAGTTAGTTCTTTGAGAACTTATGGGCACAGTGAAAAGGACACTGAAGCCGTTCTAACCTCAAGTAGTCCAGACACAAGTCCCTAGTCTAGGTCAACCTAGGCTTTCTGATTATGTCCTTTTTCTGACTATGGTGCTCACCCAAGACTGGGAAAAACAGTTCTCAAGGTTTGATGTGAAAGGACTGACACTTCCATATGTACCTGAATGCTTGGTCTTTAATATGGAGTGCTGATTAGTTTGGGAAGACAGAAAACCTTAAAGTACTGGAGAGCAGCAGGAGGAATTAGGTGACTGGATGCAGTAAGGGCCTGAAAAAGCCATGGAACCAGCTGCTTCAGCCTCATCTTCCCCAGGCCAACTTCCCCAACTCCTCCATCTGCCATGCCTCCCCTGTTCTCAGAAGGCATGAGACTAGGGAGTCCTGTTGTCCCTTAAGGTGCTCTCTGATAAGGAAATGTTCACTGCTGTGATAAAAATAATACAGTCCCTGTTATTAGACAGAGAAACTACCTTGGGTTACTCCTTGCTGTTTCTCCTCCGATCTTGGAAGTGACATCAATTGTTCTTTGTGAGAAATGATAGGAAATTGTTCCTAAACGACATTTAGTGGACTGGGCTTTATTCTGAAGCTGCAGAGAAAGTCATGTTGGATGGAGAGCATTTGGGTCTAGCATTGGTTCTGAAACATTTGGGATTTCCCAGTCTCACGGACCTTGACACTGGGAGCTTTCCTTTCTGTTGCCATGAGATTCATGTTCTGTGTAATCGTTGGATTCACAGAGTCACTGCTGGTGTCTGAGACATTGATTTGTGCTTGTGCCCATTTGACTTTTTTCTAAATTTGATCCCTTTTCTATAGTTTAGTTTGGCCATGTGGTACTATAATTTCTTTTGGGGTTTGTTGTGTTATTTTAAACCTTAACTATGAAAAGTAGAAACTATGTCTTGAGACATGTATCCATACATATAGTGAGCAAGGATCATTTTCATCTACTGTGTTATATTGCAAAAGCCTCTGGCATGTGCTCACTGCACTCACTTTTTAAAATTCCTTAAACACATCCACAGCTCTAGTTAGGCTCAGGGTATTTCTGGAATTTGCACAGTACATGAGATACTGTGTCCATGTATATTTCAGAAAACTACAATATTTCATTCTTCCTGGAGGCATGGACCCTTCCCTCTAAACTTGTCTGTAAATTGATCAGTTTTTGTGTGGACTAATCCCTAGTACTACTTGCAGAAGCCCTGTGGACATGACATATCTCTTATGTGTTCTTAAACAGTGTTGAACAGGGAATCTCATTTTAGATGATTGGCATCAAGAACATTATATATACATTTTGTGAGTGTGTGTATTAGTTTGTTGTGTATGTATGTCTCTATCAGTGTGTGTGTGTGT